GTGAGAAAGATCTACCGTCCTACTATTTGCTAGCGCGGCAACAAAAATTAGGACCGTCCGATCCCTTTGCTATGTGCGGCTGAAAAGAGTGTCGCACACACGGAAGGGTCCTCATTGCTATACTTTTCTGACCGCCTCCGTGTCCATCCGAATAGAACGCCCAGTCATTATAGCTGTATTTGGACTGAAAATTGCACCAAATACGCGGCTATAATGACCAGGCGTTCTATTCGGTTGAAGACGGTAGTGAGACTTTTGCCCCCCGTGGAGCCATACCCTGGCACATGGCCCGTCCCCCAGGAAATACACTCTGAAGAAATACATTTGAAAAGAAAATAGAACTACGGACACCACAAAGAAGGTGGGCGGTGGGCGGAGGCTGGGTAAAGGAGGGAGACTCCACTGGTGCCCCCCGGTGGCCACCCCCCAATACCCGCCTACGCCAAGGGATAGGAAAAGAGGTGGAAATGTTTGGCTAGGGGACGCTGGACCCGGTTTCCAGCACAGCGGTGTCATGTTCAGAATCCACGGTTCTTTTGCCATGATGTATTCAAGGGACGCTGGACCCGGTTTCCAGCAGGTGATGCTCCCCACCAATAGATGGAGCGGCGATTAACAGGCTGCTAGGGAAGGCTGCTCTTATCACCTTCCCTAGCAGACCTGTACAAGCCTTCGAAAAAAAAAAAAAAAAAAAAAAGAACAGAGAAATGAGAGAAGAGAAAAGACAAGCGAGCAATCCCAGCGTGTCTGGGCTGTGTGTGGATGTGTGCGAGAGTGTGTTGGCCTTATTAGACTCTACTGCTAGTCGATTTTTTTTTGGGGGGGGAGGAGGGGGAGTACGAGAAAGGGAGGCGCAGCTACTGGCAAAATGCTCTGTCTTCGCGATAGCCAACCCCCCACTGGCGTCCCCCCACCCTGCACCCTAAACTACTACTTCTTCTTTTTTTTTTTTTTTTTTTTTTTTTAACTATGCTAGATTCTTCTCTCAAATCTTTCATCATCTTTCCAATGCTTTCAATTCACCTGCACTACCTACCTACCACTACTCCTGAAGGCCTATTTATACAGAGGACCTCTGCAAACATATACAGCTTTGTCATTGATTGCCCTGGCACACGGGATCAACTGAGCAGGACGTAGATTTGTGAGGAAAGGGTTGGGGGGTTGGGGGGTCGGGGAGAGAGGAAGCCTCTCTTCCTCTTCGCCCAGCTGCAGGGCGTCTGCTGAGTCTACGTGATAACCATGTCCGTTACGGCATGCACATGTGCAAAAAAGAAGGTTTTCAAGAAAAAAAAGGCTATGATTATGATCTTGCGATAATGACCACAATGATGACGATAAGCATTTTGTTGATGATGATAATGATTGATGAGGACGACGATTGATGATGGTTGAATGATGATGATGGCTGATGGTGATAAAGAAGATCTTGGCGATCACGGTGATGATGATGATGATGATGATGATGATGATTGGTAATGATGACGATGATGCTGGTGATGATAACGATCTTTGCCATCAGGATAAAAATCCTGATGATGGTAGTGACCATGATGATGATGATGATCGAAGAATGATGATGATGATGATGATGATGATGATGATAACAAAATCTTGGGCGATAATGGGATTGACCATCATGATGATGATGATGATGATGATGATGATGATGACAAGATGATGATGATGATGATGATCATCATCATGATGATGACTGGTAATGATGACGATGATGCTGACGATGATAAGAATCTTGGCGATGGCGGTGATGACGGTAATGATGATGATGATGATGATGATGATGATGATTGAATGATGATGATGATGATGATGATGATGATGATGATTGAATGATGACGATGATGATTGATTGATGATAATAAACATCTTGCCGTGGGTGATAATGACCATGATGATGACGATTGAATAATGATGACGATGATGACTGGTAAAGATAACGATCTTGGCGATGATGATTATAAAGATGATGATGATGATGATGATGATGATGATGATGATGAAAATAATTGATAATGATAATCGATGATGATGATGATGATATGGAGAGAATTGGTAATGTTCAGTGTACCGAAATAAATGGGACGCTGCGCCACTGTGTGTGCACCCAGCCTAGCCTCGCTCGCGGCGCAGGCCCTTGCCCTCCTCCTGCCTATTCCTTCCCAGTCTTCCCAGTCTTACGTTCGCTGTGCCACGGCGTGCATGTGTTTGTTGATCCATTTGCATGGTGTTCGAACGCAACCCCTCACACCGACTATGCCCCTTGTTACGGGCCCCCCACACCGCCGAGTATGCCCGTCGTTACCTTTTCTTTTGCCTCCGCCGACCAAAAGGGCTCCCTTGCCTCTAGGACTAGGTACAGCACCGGGACTTCCCAGGAGGTCACCCATCCGGCCCAACGGCGCTTGGCTTCCGAGTTCGGATGGGATCGGGCGCGTTAGCCATGGTATGACCGTACCATGTTGGGCAGGGGCGTTGCATTCCCGAAAGCAAGGCTCCCACATCGTGGCCCATAGCTGGGTGTGGGGCTGCTTTGGGACTCGCGGTGTGAAGCAGGCGTCCTTTCCGTTCTGACCACAGCCTGGATGGATGAGCTCGGAGTATGGCACACAAATCTTTATCGGGCGCTCGTGGGGTATGTTTTGGCAAATACCCTCTGGTGCCAGGAGCACGCCGCCTTCATCCAATGCGTCTCTCGTGCAGGAGAGCGAGCCAGCCATGCTGCTCTGGGTGACGGCCCGATCAAGTCCGCTGCCGCGTGGAATGGAACAAAATCACTGGACAGAATTTGGGGAAAAAGGATTGCCGTCCCTTGAGCGGCGCCCTTGGGAAGTAAGGAAGGTCCTTGGGTCTGACTGCTTGTTTGTTGTTTCGTGGTGGGATGCAGGGGGGCAATCATGGCTTTTGCATAGTGAAGACGGCGAAGGGGGCTCGAATTTGGCAGGTGGCATGGGACTTGTCCTAAAAGGGTTAGGTGTTTGTTTCTGTGACGTTTCCCTGATCCCAACTGCTCGTCTGTTGGGAGGAATGGCAAAAGGACCGTCATCTGGAGCCCTATCATAGCAAGCGGCATGCCAAGAGGACTGCCATCCGATGCCCACAACAGCAAGCGGTGCACACACGGTTTTTGGTAGGTGAGCAAAGGGTAAAGCGTCCCCCTTCTCCCTCACCATGATCTTCCCTCCCTGTTTGGTCCATGGTTAGAAAGATGCAGGTGTGGTGGCTGTGCTATGCTGTTCTGTTCTGTGGGGTGGTGTGGTGTGATGATGTGATGATGTGATCTGGTGTGGCGTTCTGTGCTGTGCTGTGGTGTGGTGTGGTGTGGTGTGTGTTGTGTGGTGTGCGGCGTGGCGTGGCGTGGTCCGGGGTGTGGTGTGGTGTCCTAGTATTATTTTTTTCTATGGCAGAGTACATTACATACATTGCAGCATATCGTACCTACTATCTCTCTCACTTGCTTGCTGCGCATCATTGCCATCCGATATCCATCACCCATCTGTTTTTGTTTTTTTTTCTTCCCATCCCATCCCCCAACTGTGTCGTCCTTTCTCGCGACTGCGCCCCCCCCGGCCCTCCTTCCTCCTTCGCGCTGGCTCGCTCCCACGTGTTTTTCCCCCTGCCACACACACACACGCTGCAGTGCGTGCCACTTATATGATGTAATTGGATGTTTTGCAGCGAGCATCAGCCCAAAAAGGGGCATCTCGTGTAGGTACAGCACCGGGACTTCCCAGGAGGCCACCCATCCGAGTACTATTCCGGCCCAACGGCGGTTGGCTTCCGAGTTCAGATGGGATAGGGCGCATTAGCCGTGGTATGACCGTACCATGCCTGTGTTTTGAAGTGCAGTGCCCAAGTCCGTGACGGCTCGGGTGCAACTGGTAGCAGTCAGAACACCCAGCTCGGGTGCAACTGGTAGCAGTCAGAACACCCAGGGACACACCCCGGGCGCACACACATAGAGACCCAGACCCACGAACTTGAGTCTTGCTCCTTTGGCGCAAACTTAAGAGTTTTGCTTGTTTGGAGATCAGGGATTTTTTTTCGTTTTGGCCCCGGGGCTGGAGGGCAGGCGAAAATCCGCTTTTTTTCGCGGATGCCTGGGAGTTGCGTTGGAAGGTGGGTGTTTCTTCAGGGCAGGGCAAACGCTGTGGCATGCAGCAAACAGCAGAGTTGGAAATGGGAGTCGGACGGCGAAAGGAAGGGGTTTTCCACGGGGTTTGAGCACTGGCTTGTTACGGCGATGGACTGGGCGGGGGCTTGAACCATGTATCCCAAAATAAATCAGAACATACGGCATAAGACGATTTCACGGATTGAGGTCGGAATGGGTTCGGATTTCGGAATGGGACTGCGTGTTTTCACGTCCTAGGCGAGGTGGGAGGTCGAGTTGCATGGGGCACGTGCGAGCGAAAGCAGGGAAGGGGGTAGATGCGTGACAGCATACACGTGTGGACACGTGGCACGCGCGATGTGTCCTCTTTAGATCTTTTCGTTTTGTTTTTAGTGCGACCCGTTGACCTATAAACGCCGTAAGACGTGAAATGGTAGTTTGCCTTGACGACTTGGATCGGATCCGATAAGAGAGTACGGAATATGGAATATGTTTTTTTTTTTTTTTTTTTTTTTTTTTTTTTTTTTTGAAATAGAGTGTGGTCCGATGGTCCACGAATCAGATATTAACGTGATCAGAACTGCTACTACACTGGATCTTATTTTAGCCAAAAGACCGAGAAAGTGGCATCCGACAGCCACGTGGCAGCAGAGAGAGACAAGTGGTAGTAAGCTCTCTCTGGCAAGTGGTGTACAGCGGGTGTCTGACTACTTCTTTATTAAAAAACTATTTCATTGAAACGGACCTTTTTTTTTTTTTTTTTGAACGAAATTGAAACCTACTTATTTGGCCCTAAGAAAAGACTGTCACTGTCTAAAAAAGCCGGACCCCCTTGGATGTATGCAGACGTGAGCTAAGTCCAGAGGGCCCTTCGGTGCCAAACCGGTGACATTTTCAGGGCCAAATAAGTAGGTTTCAAAAAAAAAAAAAAAAAAAGTTTCAATTTCGTTTAAAAAATGTAAAGTGTTCGTTAAAAGAAGGAAATAGTTGTTGTTATGTCACTTGGTTGTTGTTATGTCACTTGTCCCACTTGTCTGGAAGTGCAGCACTATGCCCAAAGAATAGAGGCCCGGTATGGGATAGGTCTGGGAGTGGTGGGGCTGTTCTTCCCTCCTAGACTCCTTTTGGCTCTTCCTCTGTTTCGTGTCCATTCTTTGGCCATCATCCGGAAGGGTTTCTTCCCTATTTAATGGCCCCTTTATGGGCCCTATTTAATGGGCCCTTCATAGGCCCTATTTAATGGGCCCTTCTTAGGAGATAGCTGCTGCCTTTTGATGTCAAGCGCCAATAGAACCCAAGGGAGGTGTTGTGTGAAAGTTGTTTAGCATTTGGAAGGGTTTCTTCCGTATTTAATAGGGCCCCTTCATAGGCCCTACTTAATTGGCCCTTCATAGGAAATAGCTGCTGCCTTACGATGTCAAGCGCCAATTGAACTCAAGGGAGGTGTTGTGTGAAAGTTATTTAGCATTTGATCAACCATATGTCATTTATAAGGCTATTATAGCATGATGTCCATATTAAGGCATCATGAAGCCTGGAGGTAACCTTATAAATATGGCCTTATAGATGTCGTGTCTGAATCAACCTGAAACCACCTGAAAAGGCATCATACCCCCTTTTCAGGTCGTTTCAGGTCATTTCAGCTCGATGAGGCCGATTCCTCCTTGGGGATTAGCTGATGATGTATGGCCAAGCCACCTTTGAGGTGCAGATTTCCCACTTACGATTGCATGTCCTTAGCATTCATCTCATGCGTGGCGCCAGGGCATTCAGGTCTTCATCAGGGGGGGACCAAATAGATGCCAGGTACCGAAGACTCGGCGAAGAGAGGAGAACACTGAGGTGTCGACGATCAGTGCCGTACGTGCGGAAAAAGGCCTGCTCCTTGCATGGGACCCAGGCGCGATGTTGCTTCGGCTATTATCAGATTTCGGCCCATACCAGGCCATGTTGCATCCTTATTAAACCACCAGTACTTGGCCCAGCTATCGACCATGGGAAAAAATAGAGTAGAAACGTTTCTAGTCGGATGAATTTGGGCTCTCCTGTAGTGGCCCGTACGTTTCCTAAAATCCTGGTGTGTTAACGGGCACCGCTCTAGGAAGTACTGGTGGTTTAACAATGACGAGCGCCTGCCCCTTCTGCACCAGTATCAAGCTGAGCTGTGATCCCCCCTCTGCTGGATGGTTGCATGTCACCAGCCTCCCGTTTTGGCCCACTTGACTTTCATCTCTGGTGCAAGTCTAAATTTCTGGACTTTTCGAGAAGAATAATCAACTTCAAAAATATCGATCAAAACTCGGAAATCTTGTGTTCGTATGATTTTTTGTTTTAAAGAGAACATTTGAAAAAGATTGTCTGGGTTGGTATACAAAAAAGTACGACCGCTCGCCCTAGCCAGCGACCGCCGAGCGGTTTGGGATCCTCAGAGACTTTATGCGAGAATTCTCTCAATTGAACAAAAGAGCATTCTTGCGCCTTCGGAGGGCAGGCGTTCTGCACTGACTGCTATCCTTCTTGCATCACATCCGTGCCTCTTAAGTTCTTAACTCATCTCCTGCTTTTATCAAGCCTTTCATTGCTATGACCAGGCTTGATAAAAAAAAGTCAGAGTGTTTAGAAAGAAGGTCAAAAAGTTCAACCCACAAGATGCGTTAGAGGCATGGATCTGATGCAAGACTGTTGGATTGTTTGCAAGGATCACGACCGTCGGATTGTTTGCAAGGATCAAGACTGTCGGATCGTGGGCAAACATCAGTCCGAGAGCGGTCAGGAGGGAGGTTTCGTTGTAAAGATGGTAACTGTTTCTAAGTTGCCAGCCGGTCAAACGAGGAGAAGCCGTTAACGGAGCCCGAAATACAAACACCAAACTTGGCGCACACAAACCTAAGCTTGACCAATGCACTTTTCAGGGTTGGGGGGGGGGGGGGGGGGNTTGGGGCTGAAAAGTTGGGGGTTGGGGGGGTCCCTGTTAACCGCTAATGTAAAGAAGGAAGGTGGGAGGATGAGGGATCGTGTGATTGGGAAGGTGTCTGAATGAGGCCGGTTTGCTTGCACCCTGCCAGATGCGTCGTTGTATAAAATCCGGACCCACTTCCAGAAGCCTGGGCCAACCCCCATTCCGTACATACAGTCCTTTAAGAACTTAGAAGTTTCAGTTGTCAGTCGAAGGCTTTTCCAAAGTCAAAAAATAAGAAAGTGGCTTGCAAGTGCCTTTCTGCGACCTTTGGCTGCCTCGTTCAAGGACATTACCTTGTCTAGGATGCACCGCCAAGGGATGGAACCAGCCTACCGTCTTCACCCGAATAGAATGCCCGGTCATTATCGCTGCATCTGGACTGAGCGTTGCGCCAAATACAGGTATAATGACTGGGCGTTCTATTTGGGTGAAGAGGGTAGTCAATATGGAAGCATTTGTCCGTCAGGTAGGGAGATTGGTCTGTACCCTCTTCACCCGAATTGAATGCACGGTCATTATCACTGTATTTAGACTGAAAGGTGCCCCCAATACATGACGGTACGGTCTATTTGGGGGAAGGATGGTGGTTCTTCAGTCTTCTCTGTCTGCTTTTTTTTTTCCATGAAAAAGGTCCATGTCGTAGTAGAGGGTGGATGCTAGACCTCAGGAGGTGCCTGTCGTCGTACTCAACCACTGAGGAGGTCAGATGGCTTGTGACAATCCCAAGGACAGTCTTCTTCCTGTCTGCTTTTTCATGTAGCAGGGATGTCGCACTTGTGCTCACTAGTCAGATATCTACCCAAACGGCCTTTCTCCCAACCCTTATTGAAGAATGGTAGGAGATTCTCTGGCCAAGGGTGGGCCATATATAGGCCCAGAATTCCTTGGGCCCACATTTACTCGATCAAGCTGTCAATGCCACATTCGCTGCAGTCTTACGGGACATCTGTCGAAATGACCCGTCTTTTTCTTTTTCTTTGTCTTTTTTTACATGCATCGGTGCAGGTCGTGGCTGTTTTGGAGCAGATGCGGGATGCTACCACCTGTGAGTTGCAGGTAGCGGACTGCACACTCTTCAACACACACACTTTCTGCTGTCTTTTTGGCCCTGCGCCACCATTGCTTTCAGCTGAGGCTGTTTTGTGTTTATCAGGAGCGGTGGAAATGAGTCGCCTTCTTCCTTTGCTGGGTTTCGTGAGGAATGGTGGAAATGACTTTTGCCAAGTCTTTTGCGTGTCTTTTGCTGACCAGGGTTGTAATTTGAAAGTTGCCCTCGTGTCCTTTGGTGGCCAGGGTTGTATTTTGAAAGTTGCCCTCGTCAGTTCGTGGAGCTCCAGCTATAAGCAGCAGATTGGCAATTGGAGGACTTCTCTTTGAGGCTTGTGAGAGAATGTCAGTGTCCCATCGAGGAGGTACTCCTACAAAGAAGCGCAAGATGAGTGACAGAGGGGCCATCCTGTGTCCCTCCTTGTCAAAGTGGGTGGAGAAGGATGAGGTTGCAAAGCGTGAGAAGCAGCTCTTGTATTCTGTACGGACAATTCTTTGTCGTCCAGAATTGCTTGATGTCACATTTGTATGCAAACATGGAAGAGAGGTGCGGGCAAATAGAGCATTTTTAGCAAGTGGGAGCGAGTACTTCCTTAAACTTCTGTACGGGGATATGAAGGAGAGCTCGATGGACAGAATCCCTCTCCCTGATGCGACCGCAGGCAGTCTTCAGATTGTGATCGGTTATCTGCATGGTCATGACTTCATGTGGAATCACAGTTGCCTTGATGAAATGGTGGAGGTGTACTGCCTGGCAGCGCAGTACCAGGTAGATCTCCTCTGCCAGAGGATCTTACTCATGGTCCAAAGTCTCATTTATGCATGTGAATTTGGATGTCTGCTAAATGCGGCGATCCCAAGGCATGCCGAGGAATTGTTGAAGGTTGCAGTCAAAGTAATGAACAAAGTTTTGGTATTCGATTCGACGTCATTCAAGGGGTGGAGCAAAGAGAGCATCGAATACTGCCTTGAGAACGTGCAATTCCATCCTAATGTCACTGAGACGATGGTGGCTGAGGCTGTTCTCTCTGCAGCATCCAACAACGGCAGTGTTGCTGATGAGGGAGAAATTTCACAGGATCAAACTGTGGTAGACGGTTCCAAAGCGGAAGGGTCTGGTGACTCTGTTAGCGTAAAGATACCAAGTTGTTCAGAAGCCTCAGGTGAGAAAGACTGCGATAGAGACACATGTGGCTCACTGTCAAGCGAGGACTTGCGTGAAATATTCGAATGTCACATCAACCTTGCATTTGTAGATCCCCTCTTTATGGGAACGAGGATTGAGCCGCTGCAAATCCTGCGGCACCAGGTAATCACTGCAGCTTACAAAGCGCAGTCCATTCTTCTCTCAAGAGGATTGCCAGTGCAATCTATTTGGAATCCTTTCACAGTACCATGGCGTTCTCTAAGTCCCAGGGTGTCATTTGCACCAGTGAAATCACCCGGAGGTGAAATTGGTAATGGTTATGCTGACGTCTCAGTCCCGTCTTTATGGAGCCATGATCCCCTATCCAACTTCGTAATTTCAGAGCAGCTACCACAGCAAGTGCAGTGCATAAACAAAGCAAATGTGTCCCATGCAATACTACGGTTACCCCTTCAATGTGGATTGCATATATGGAGGGTCAGGAGTCCAACATTGGGCAATCGTTTTGGTGCGGGTGTTGTTTCGTCAACTGAACTAGACATGTTTGGTGCACGGAGAGTGAACAAGAGTTGGCTCTTATACGGTCACTTGAAATTGGAGAAGCCCACTGTCATGCCCAATCTATGGCCAAAGCCACAAGATTTTCTTTCTGTGTGTCCAATGAAACGGTTTAGTGAATCTGGGGACGCTGTGTTTGTGATATTGGACATGACTAAGAAATCACTGACTTTTGCCAACAGACTAAAAGACTACCTCGATGCAAACGGAACATATCCTGCTGCCGCCACCGATCTGCCATGCCATGAGCCACTGTACCCGGCTGTGCATATGCAGGAACCTGGTTCTGTTGAGATAGAATGGATTCAAAGTTCTCCCCGCGAACAGTCATTCCGCCCAATCTACCGTTATGAATTTGTCGGTTTAACTTAGATTCTCAATTTTCTTCAGTGCCTACTTCATGGCCTCTCGGCTGTGTTGGTTACTTTATGGATGCAGTCCATTTTGTAATGAATCACAAATTGAAGCCATTATCTGCACCCATGGACAGCTTGAATGTCTGTTTCTACCCACCCTTATGATTCAGGCATAATGTGTATGATTAAGCAAAATATTCACATATACGGTTCCCCACACGTACATTGAAGAAACATGCAGATGTGTATGATTGTTTTTCTGTTTTTTTGGTGTGTGTGTGTGTGTG